CGTTATCTGAGACAAATCGTATTAAAATATGTCATTATATTATAAAATTCTTAAATTGTCTTCTCATAATTATGAATTGGTAAAATGTCAGTGGTAATTTCTCTGCCTGCTTTTGCTTTTTAAAGTGTAGTGAATAAATGTTCTGTTTCAATTTTGACTTAAAGGCGGGAAGAAAACAACATGTCCATATAATACGAAGTAGTAATACTCAGATAGAGCCTTAGATTTGGTTACCTATTGTCAAAGTAGAAGTTCTACAAGCAAGTAGATGATGTGGCGATGGGCTTACCTGTATCTCCCATTGTCGCCGACATATTCATATAAGACTTTGAGAAGAAAGCCCTGATTACTTTTCCCGTAAATTCAAAATTCTACAAGCGGTACGTAGACAACACTTTTAAAATTCTACCTTTAGATAAAATAACTGCATTTTTAGACCATCATAACTCCATAAATTCTAAAATTTGTTTCACAATGGAGTTAGAAACAAACAATTCTTTAGGGTTTCTTTTTCTTTCTTTTATTCTGAATCCTGATAATACCTTGAGCCACTTTGAGTATAGAAGAAAATCTCATACAGATAGATATTTAAACGTTGATTTCCACTACCAACTTCACAGGTAGTTAGCATGGGTAATTATTTGTTTTAGAGAGCACGAGGGATCTGCGATAGTAAACACCTGACCGCCGAGCTCCAACACGTTGTAACGCTTCCCCCCTCTCATAATAATAAATATATTAGATTAAATATAATCAATTCTCCTTTATAATAAAATTATATTTATGTGTCTAGGATAAATAAAATATGTTTTGGTCTTTCTTAATGATCTTTCTAAAGGTTTAATAATAGGCCGTTTGTAATACTTTGGCGTGATCGTCTTAGTTAGGACCCTTATTTACGTTGTGTTTGTTTAGTAACTTAGTTCTGTTAGGTGTCTTTTGGAAGAATGAATATTCGCTAGAGCAATTGAAAGCTGTTGGTAGTGCCTTATAAGCTAAGTGAACCCCGTTCACGAAGACAGGGCTCGAGAAAGGGTAAGAACATAAAACGTCCCAATTCCACTTGTATCAGGTTTACATTATTAACTTAATATTATTTATCCCTTCCCGCTCGGAAAAGGCTCAAAATATATTTACACAAAATACCCGATGCAAGGGCTTCGCTCTCCTACATTTATTAAAAAATGTAGGGGAGGCACACGCCGTGCACGGTGAGCGCCAACCATTTTGATGCACTCCCCGCAGGGAAAGCTAATTCGGGAACTGGACCGTAGTCCACAGCAAAATAACTGGCGAACCAGTAAAAGAGGCTTGACCCCTTGCTAGTGCGTAAGCACAAACATCGACCGAAGTCGCGCATGTCAATGCGTGTAAACGCCAAACAGAATACGAACGAATCCAGCCACAGTGAATGTACGTCACACGGTTTAGGCAAATAGGCACACTGGCCGTAAACCCTCCGTGAGCGCCACCACCTGCCAGACCGCCGCTCCTGCAGACGTGATGTAAGTGTATGGCATCACCACCAACTGCATGATCAGCACGGCTACTAGCCGCAGAGCGTGTCATGAGTCTACCGCTTACCTCAAGGGAATGGGGTCCCACGTTGTGTGGCTTTCGGCCGCTGCCGTGAGAGTCTCCTCAGATCCTCCCGCCAGCTACCACCCGCATGAGGTCGACACATATGCTCCACCAACCAATACAACGGCAGATATAGCCAAAAGGCAGTTATAAGATAAGAGTAATAATTCGCCATCAGAAAGGGTTTGCGTCACTGATGTTGAGTAAATGCATTTTCGATCATGTTTGTCTCACCCACCAACAAGTTGCCTTCAATCATTCAAAGGTGGGAAAGTTACAGAGATATAATATTATGTTGTTATATAAAAAATTGTGGAGGGCAGACAGACTGCAGCCCCGTAATGAAGGGACCCGACTTGGGCAAAGCTACTCAGGCGTGGGTCAAACCAAGACACAGAGAGCGCCATTGAGAATAGAGTCCCACCAAACAACCATCGCAAAGACGCAACGCTGCAGAACGCAACAAGCATCCATACGACTATCGTCGGGCTTACACCATCCCAAGGTCCCCCCATACATCCCAGCAGACATCACCACCCGCATACCTCCATCGACCAGAACCACAAGAGTGCGTCGAATCAGGCGCAGCACACCCGCAGATCCACCACAAGACGCATTACCGCAAGTAGCAGTAAGCAGCAATGCAACTATCACACGGATGGCGCCCCCTCACAACAAACCCACATGACCCCTATCGATTTTGGTAACAAAGTTTTTATTGTTGTTATATAAAAAATATCACCAACGTATCATAGTAGCACGCTACTAAGACGCCAATGAACAAAACTCCACGTATCATAGCACTAATGCACTAAGTCATTAAGTTGAGTATGCCTGTTACACTTAAAAGTGCTACCAAGCACACTCATCATCCCAATCCGAAAGACAGACGACGCATCGCTATGCGCTAAGACGTCGCCCACAAACGGTATGGGTGTGCGATGTCCACGGGAAAGCTGTATTGCTACAACAAACCCGCTTACCACCAGCACTAAGATGATATGTCTAGGATACATCGGTAAGCGAGTCCAAGTTTACCTTGGACCAATTGCTCGTGAAGCAGCACACACGCCACCATAATATTCCTTTTCAAGTCCCTAATAAGGACTAGTCATTTTGCTACAGTACTAGGAGCAGTCGGTCACCCGACCACTCCATACAATGCTTATGCATCAGGGAGACCTTCTATAATATTGCTTTTGTGTTATAGACCTTACTTTCATAAGTCATTAATATTTGGGATTCGAACCCACGACCCTACTATTGTAATGCAAATTCATCATAGAGACCTTCTATAGTATGGCTTTTTATTTATTATTTATTTATTTAGGTAATCATACAGCGTTTTTATCTTATTATAGATGTTAACAGACATATTAAAGATTATTGAGAGAGGCTTGGCCAAGTGTTTTGCACATTTATGTATAAATAGGGGAGGTATGCCATCGCTACCAGGCCCAGTATTAGTTTTAATTGTATGTAGAATACGATAAACATTTTTAGTACTAAAGTATATATTATGTAATATATCATTTGATTCTACGTTTGGAATATGGGAATAATCGTAAGAAGAAGAAGGTTTTTGAAAAACACTTTCAAAGAATTTATTAAATCCCCGCACACACGTTCGTTTCGTTTGTGTATGATTCATTTCCTAATTTTAATGTATTAGGGTATGTAGAGTTGCTATTACGTATAGATTTTAAATAAGACCATAATATTTTAGGATCTTTTTTTAGAAGGCTTTGCATTTTATCTAAGTAACGCTCGTGGCACTGTTTCTGTAATTTCTTTTGTCTAGTACGTAGTACGCAAAATTCGTCATAATCACGGGGATTTTTATATTTTTTCCAATGTTTATGTTTTAAGAGCTTTTCTCGAATAATATGCCTTAGTGATTTAGAATACCAAACAGGGTAATTAAATGAACGGGATAAACAAGTAGGTACAAATTTATCAATTATTAGGTGTAGCTGGAAATAAAAATTTTGAACTACGACATCAATCGAGTTACCAGTTAACAAGGAAGACCAGTTGACTTCTGAGAGAGCTTTATTTATTTTATCGTAATCAACTCGGTTAAAGTTTAATTTTGATAGTGGTTTATTTTTTAAGCAGGGTATTAGCAGATCAGATGCGTCGAGCAGTAAAGAAGGATGGTATTTATCCTTCTCATTCATTTATTTTATACAAGATATATTTGAGAACGAGTAACGTCTATGTTTATGTTACTAAACACTAAGTCTAGTACGTTGCCACTATTGTTGCTAATAATATTATGTTGATTTAGCCCTGATAAGTTGCATAGATCCGTTAACTTTATTGTAGCATTTTGTAATTCTACTAGACTTTGCTTAAGCATTACGGGACCTGAAGAGGACCAAGATATATTCGCTAGGATGAAGTCACCGGCAATTATAAAATGATCATTTGGACATTGTGTTATGATTTTTGTGAGCATTTCTGTAAAATTATCTAAACGCTTTGATTGATAATTATCAGGCGGTATATAAACAACTCCAATGTTTAAATTACGTCTGTCTTGACAAATTAAATATTTTCCTGGTATTGTTACCCACAAACATTCGAGATCTCTACACATCCATTCCGTCCGTTCTTGAGCTTGTAATTAATTGTGTATACGTACAAATCATGACCCCCCCACCCTTCTTTTTATGCGAAGATGTTTTATTTCTATCATACCTAAATATGTCGTACCTATTGTCACACAATTCACCGTTGTAAATACCATCAGTCAACCAAGTTTCTGTAATGAGTATTATGTTGAAGTTATTACAAATTATACTGTCTTTAAATTGCCTAGTTTTAGTTCGCAAGCCACGGACGTTTTGATAGAATATGTGCATTGAGTTATGAGGCACTTTTAGCATGATTTAGGTACCATTGTGTTGTAATTAACTTATAAAAATTATATTTATCATAGTAATTGATAGTAATGTAGATAATAAGTATATTATGTAACAGAAATAATACAGGTTGAAGAGTCATGAGGGATGGTTTTGCAACAGACAGGAATTTTATTTTTATACAAGGTAAGAAATGGTAGCTTATACATTTCTTTTGTAGGGCATATTGGTGTTACTTACACTTTCAGTATTGATGTAAATTTTTGAAAGATGTGTGTGAATGTAAGATTTTGATGTATGTAATAATGGATGTGTAAATCGTAAGTGTTGTTTTATGTGTTAAATATGTAACAAATTTAAATCTTATCATACAAATAAAAAATAAAATTAATCTTATCATACAATTTTTAATAAATCTTTTTCGGAATTTATAGTGATAGCGGGAGACTCCTCGTTTTTCCTTAAAAAAATGTGGCAGTTTCTGACCCAGACAAACTTATATGATTTGGCCATTGCTCGTGATTTTACTATTTTCAAGAGTTGCTTATTCGTCTAGTTGCTAGGGGTCAGGTGTTCGTTAACAAAAAGCCTTTTGGCTGGACCACCCAGTCCAATATCTGAAGTAGTAATTCCTTTGGTTTTTCGGAGCCCTGAAATAATATTATCTTTAATAGTGCGATTCTGAAATTTGACCACAATGTTTTTTGGGCGACCTCCAACATTCTGCATAGGCTGAACTCGGTGCGCAAAAACAATTTGATCATCTGTAAGCTTTATTCCTGCATGGCTGGCTATTTTGATTATTAATTCAGAAGTTGATTCTTTTGAGTTTTGTGGTAAACCAACAATCTCTAAGTTCGAAAGTCTAACCCATTGTTGTTCTTTTTTTATTTGCGCACATAATTCCGCCAGTTTCATCTCGCCATTCTGGACACTTTGTTGAAGTTTTTCAAAATTACTTTTAAGATTGTTGTAGTCATTTAGCAAACTGTTATGCGATTCTTACAGCTGTTTAAGGTTACTAGTTATTTCGTTTTTTATTTCAGTGATAAGTGATAATTTCAACTCTTGAATTATATCGAATTTTATAGCACTGAGTTTTTTGTCTAACTCTATGCTATTAATTAATTCCAAATTATATGGTTGGCAACTACTGGTCTCAGTGATACATGTAGGCTGGTCAGTACTTTTGTTTGATGATCTATACGTAGTTTTATCGTAAACGGTGTTGGAAGGAGACTTATTAGTTCGTATCGGAGTGTTACTGTTATCACCACCTTTTCGACAAGAAGCAGTGCAAGCGGGACACTTCCATTCAGATCTTGAAGCAGTATCATTATTAAAATTTATGCACTCTGAATGGTAGTTATGCGAACATTGTGTGCATTTTATTTGTTTTTGAGTAACATTTAGGTTTGCTCTGCATGCTTCACACCTTCCGCCCATTTTACTATTAAATAAAGCGTTAAAATGCAGAGAATGTAATACAAATTATAAGTACAAAAAGTGCGTCAACTCCAATATACAGTGCAGTGGACTCGATCCTCCGTCGCTTTAACTTTTAATTGATATGCACACCGTTAGGCCGTTCGACCAACACGCCTTGAACAGATACGATGAAATTTTTGAACTCCTTGTACGATATGCAATAGTCCTTCAAGTTTTGTTAAAGGGTAAGTTAAAATGATTTTGCTAATTTTTCTTAACTTAGATCACTTTTATCGGAACTAAGCACCAATGTATTTTGAAAAACTATTATAGTCTCACAACTATTGCACTATACCACTAAGTAACGATGTTTGAAACGTTTAACGATTAATTTGATCGGAACACTTTTTAACACGTCCACCCGCTTAATGTCGGTACTTGTAATTCAATTGAATATTTATTTCTGTTATGTATCCATTTATATCAGTATTTATTTATAATTTTTGTTTAATGTACTTTGAAAAACTATTATAGTCTCACAACTATTGCAACATACCACTAAATAACGCTCTTTGAAACGTTTAACGATTAATTTGATGGGAACACTTTTTAACACGTTCACCCGCTTAATGTCGGTGTCTATGTCTTTTGTATCATAGACCTTACTTTCATAAGTCATTCATAAATAGGGTTCGAACCCACGACCCTACTATTGTAATGCATATTAATCATAGAGACCTTCTATAGTATTGCTTTTGTATCGTAGACCTTACTTTCATAAGTCATTAATATATAGGGTTCGAACCCACGACCCTACTATTGTAATGCATATTAATCATAGAGACCTTCTATAGTATTGCTTTTGTATCATAGACCTTACTTTCATAAGTCATTAATATATAGGGTTCGAACCCACGACCCTACTATTGTATGCATATTAATCATAGAGACCTTCTATATTGCTTTTTTATCATAGACCTTACTTTCATAAGTCATTAATATATAAGGTTCGAACCCACGACCTTACTATTGTAATGCATATTCATCATAGAGACCTTCTATAGTATTGATTTTGTATCATTGAGTTTATTATCATAAGTCCCTAATATAGGACTAGTCATTGTGCTACAGTACTTCAGGCAGTCGGGCTCCCGACCACCCCATATATATGTACAACTGCAGGTATGTATCTCCGGCAGCTCCTCTATACAAGACATCTATACATGAACACCTTTCATAACTTATTAAACTTTTCTTTTATACGTGAACTCCTTCCACAACTTAGGAAAATTTTCTTTTATACATGAACTCCTTCCACGACTTAGACAATTTTTAACAAATTTTCTAATTATCTTATAAATGTTATTTATCTTTATTTTTATAATATTTTCGACTTGTACTTCTATTAATGATCTTATTCTAAATTTTTTTTTTAAGTTTTTAATAAATTTATTTATTATGGAAGACAATATTTTGCCTTTAATTTACTACGTTATTGGTCTAATGTCTGAAATGTATTTATATTAACTTTATGGTTATTAATGTAATTTTATTGTTTAATATATATCTTTTAAGACTATTTTTGACGCCCCTTTATATTGAATTTAATCATTAATAATAATATTGGGCCGTCACAACGTCAAGCAAGTGTTGCATGCCAACCAGCTTCGGGTACCGTGCCTACGTCACAGTGAACGAGTGAAGCCGGCCACAATCGAGCGTATGCCTGCTTTACTACGATATTTCAGAAGCGTCACTGATAAATATAGCTACAATTGAAGCGTGCTTCCATTAAATATACTTCAAAAAACATACTTCAGGCCACCGAAGAAGATTTGTGGGTTCCACGTAGTCTGGTTGCTCAATCTCGGGAATCTAATAAAGATAGGTGCTATTAAATAGGTATTGATCCTTATCGTGACTATAACGAGTATTGGCATGGGACGTTCACTTCATTTATAATTTGAGCAAAGAACCAAGCCAACACGAGAAAGGTCATTTAACTACGTTAAAGTAAGGAGGTCGATTGATGTTATCGATAAAAATATTATACAGGATACCGATATAATATCTTATATGTCGATTTAAGCGACAGTAGCCTAATGGCAGGGCTCGGACCGCGAACTCAAAAAGGTCGTGGGTTCGAATCCACCATTCGACTATTGGCGTGAACCACTCATACCGAAAGGAATTTAGGCTTACCACGAGTGGTTAAGGCGAATATTAGTAATGTTTGTAGTATTGTTAATATTGTTTAAAAAATGTTTAGGGGGTTATTCAGTGAATGATACTGTACCCATGCCAATAAAGTTATCGCGTGGGCCTGTGTTGGGCCACACGGCCTTTGGTTTTAACGTGAAACATTTATGTCAGCCAGTACAACCAGTCAACAAGATAGCCATTTTTTAAATATTTTAATACTATTCTACAACACCTGGAAAATTCAGATTCGTTGCCGGCCTTTTAAAAAGGAGTTAGCTCGTTTCTTGAAAGTCTCTAAGTCGTATTAGTCCGTAAAAATCGCCGATAGTAAACGATTCCAAAAGGTATTCGTGCGAGAAAGAAAACTTCTAATAAATCCCACGATAGTGGACCGCCAATACAAGTACAAATAGTAACGTAATTGGATTCGCTCTGCACTCTATACGATCAAGTGGATGGAGCTCGCACTGGGTAGCGCCAGCAGACGAGAAAAGTATTTCACGCGAGGCTCCACAGGTCTGATGGCATGAAATACTGTCCCACTTTAATGAGTACGCTAAGCTGTTTACAAGCTAATTTAGCTTTCTTTTCCAAATGACCACGGTACTGCAAGCCATTCGATATGTTGACACCGAAGATTCCAATAATGGCTCCGGCACCAAGGAAAGTGCAGTTTAAGCGAACTGAACTTCAATTCAATGCTTTCCTAAAATAAATTAGATTTAAAGTGTATTTTTGTTAAACAAACTAATTTCAAAAACATGGAAGCACTCTATTGTTGGCTTTGTCGTTTATCGATGTGCCTCCGACGCCGATCGACCAATCGTATGCTATTATTATAGCGTCTAAAGGACCAAGTGACGTCACCCAAGATGCCACCAATGTGACTGCTGTTTGAGTTAATTCTTAGTTATTGCAAATTAAACATTTTATTTCATAACATATAAATTATGTAAAAGTTTATAGTATAACTTTTTTGGTGTAATGGAATTCATAATAAATAGATTTATATAATAAAACCTTACCTATACCCTATACCTTGAAGAAATCGGTTAAATAAATGACAGATAAAAACCAAGATATTTCTGATCAATCAACGTCCCTTGCAATCTCGTGGAAACTAAATTCTTCTTCAGCACCTCACTTTGGAGACATTTCTGAAAGTGGTATAAAATCTATTAAATATTATCTCAACAGCATCATGGGCTCACAAGTATTGACTTTTTTTATAGGATAGGGTGACAAACGAGCACACAGTCCATCAGATGGTAAGTGGTTGCTGTGGCCCATAGACATTTAAATCTATCCTTGAATACGAATCAAAATGCAGATGCATTGTCACCCGTGAGGACGAAAATGGAATGTCTCATTTCCAGTAAAAATGGTCTCCCTTTCTCTACACTCTGACTTTTGAAGAACTAACAACACTTTTAACTAAAGTTAAAGCGATGAACTCAAGACTAACTTGTCAGTTATTTTCTGCTCCTGGTGTAGTTTATGTTCTCAAAGCCACTTATTTTATTATAGGACGTACTTTATTCGCTCTACCAGAACGTACGTTGAAGATATAAATCCTAGAACATACTGCCAGTTACTTCAAAAAATCTCACAAAATTTTTGGCATTTTTGGCAAAATCATGATTTACATACGCTTCAACAAAAGGTTAAGTGGTTTAAGGAGGATCGCAAACATTCTAATATTGCTCAACACGTTTCAATCAATGGACATAATCTACCACCTAACGAATAGCGCCTAGGTCGATTAGTTCAAATCCACCCTGAATAGGACAATATTGTCTGACTTGTGACCTTAAAGACAAAAACAGGCTTCCTTACAAGGCTAGTTGTCAGTCTATCCTCTTCCACTTATATGAATCGTATTTTTTATGGAATTTAAGCTAGATAATAAGTTCTATTTTTAAAAATTAAATTAACTAAGTTTGGCGATATTTTCTTGTTTTAGTGTAAGTTTATCAATGCATAACTCAGTTCAGATATCTATTAAGTTTATATTTATGTATATTCTATGAGTAACTGAGGAATTGGTGACCAGGTCCCTTACCAAATTAATATACCCTTTCTATAAGTGTTTCCTATCCCCTCGCCTCCCCAATATATGCACTACTCAACAATGTTGCGGCACCTATAGCCAAGGAGAATTGGAATAAAGATGACAGCGTAAGCAAAAACCGTATTTGTTACCGCTCGTTTTAAAAGACTCAATAAATAAAGTTGTGAGACTACCGTGCAATTACTTGTGTCAATATACAGTCAAAGTGCAGTGTAGTGTTTGTGTATACATTAGAATTTCAGCATAAATATTTAGACTTAACCATAACCACGGAGTGATCCAGTCCTGTGAGTTTTCCTGCCTTATCAACCCAGTTCCAAATCTATTTTTGTTGATTTTCCAGTCGGAATCATAGGGTTGGCCAGTCCTTGGTCTGTTTGTTCTCTGGTTCCCAAAACCACCCACGAAACACTTTGCGGAAATTTCAAACCGTAACACATCCATTTTGTATAATTTAACTGAAACTTTTCTTAAACACGCACCTAGCCAACAACAAGATCAAAAATTATTTCCGACGTGAAAGATGATAGACTCTTAAATTACTTCCTAAAAAAAATTATCTTGATTTATGAATGAAGTTTTAAGAAAATGTTTCAGAGGCAAAAGTTAGTCACCAGGTGTCTCTTAACATTTTTTTTATGAAACAACAAAAGTAGAGTATTGTAATTATGTAAATGCAAAAAAATTTTAAATCGACGTAAGCAGTGATCTTCTTTGAAACTTCAGCTGTAAAAACCAGCGCTTA